GCATTAGCTGCATCTGTTTCTGTTGGCATCTGGGGTAGGATCTTTTTTCTTGTCCTGTTTGCTCGTTAGTGAGGAATCAGTTCCTGAAACATGTATTCCTCAGTTTAGTTAGTACCGATAAGCTTGATCAGCATTAAGTAACTGATTAGCATTTCATTTCAAAATTCTATTAATGTGCACTATACTAAATGGTGTCTGTTAACAGCATTAATTATAGTATTCTTATCATTATAGGAATGGCCCCCAGTACGTCACCAGACTACTACATAGCAGCACTTGGACTAGGAGTTGTGGCAGCATTGGTTATGTTCAGAGCAGAAGTGACTACAGTTCTGACTGCAGTTGTGGCCACAATAGTGGTGGTGATCATGGTGGCCCTGGGGGCCCGTTGGTGGTGTGGCTTCCATGGAAGTCAAGTAAATAACCTAGGTTTGAGTTCACAGTCAATGAAGCATAAGAAAACAGTCAAAGTCACTCTCATAACTTCTAATAGTTGGAAAGTTCTGTTAGGTTCTAGGAGATGTACTGCAAACTAATATATTCATTCACTGCTAATGCATTCTTGATCCTACCATTTAGATAGTAGACTTTCTCGAGAATGGATTTTCAGCCAAACGCATGGTCTTAATGGAGTTAAAAAGAGCTGAACATGGATGATATGTACTCTAGCTAACCCAAGTGGGTAGATCTAGACCTTGTATTATTTTTGCCCAGGTCAACTTTCTTAGAGTGGTTGAACTTTGTTTGCTTGTTCTAAAGTCTATGTTGCTCTGGATCTGAAGTTGGTCACATAAAATTGGAACAGAAAAACCGAGTTTGCAATACTAAGAAAATAATCAAACCAGGAAGCTTAAAGTATTCATCTTAATGTGAATAAGAATTCTCATGAGCGGATATGTGTTTCTTCTGTTTGTGTTTATTTGTTTGTCTGCATTATCTAGCTTCATTTGGTTAGCAACTTTGATTTTCTGAACTCAGTTCAAATGTGGCATATTTTTTGGTACAGCTGCATGTGTCGTAAAAGTTTATCACTTACTGCAATGCAATGGAGTTGCTAATTTGTTTTGTAGATATTGATGACTGATTGAGCATCCATCCTTTTGACATGTACATTCGTGTAGAAAATAGTATGTTCCGTATTATTAACATTTGATGCCGTGGTGAAGGTCATGCATATACCCATGTAAAAGTAGTGCCCTTGAATTTTATAGATTATATAAGTGGAGGCACTCTCTTCTGGCCAAAACCTCACTCTTAACTAATGATATAATGAGGTCTTATTTACGTCTGTATAGGGTAAAGCTTATTTACGTCCTTTAGCACTCGAGCTAATGAAACTGATATCTGTTTCAACTTCAGATGTGGAGCCACAATATGCCGGTGCAAGGATAGAAGGGGATGTTGTTACTTTGGATTTTGTGAAGAAAATGATGGAGGATTTCAAGAATCAGAAGAATTTACACCAACGGTATGTGTGGGAATTACAATACTCACTGTCATGGACCTTGGCAGCAAAATGTTTTTAGACACTCTTTTCACTTCATCTGGTATCGATATTGCAGATATGCGTTCCAAATTGTCTTACAGACGAAAGAAATGTTGCAAGCCATGCCTTCTCTGGTTGATATAAATATTCCTAAGGGCAATCATTTTACTGTTTGTGGTGACGTACATGGGCAGGTAATACATTTCTTCCATATCCATAAGATACTGGATCAAGTGCTTGATTTGACTTTGAACAACTCAACATTGTAGAAGGTTAATTCATAGAGAAATAAAGGGATTTGACCGGTAAATGTCAAATACTAGGTGAAACAATAGATATTTCAATTTCATATTGTCTTATGGTATTTCTGAAGTCAACCTAATCTGACTAATGTATTATAGCTTCTAGTTATGGTAGTTTTGGTGGTTGTCTACATGATATGTATCTATTTATGTTCAAGGCACTCTCTCATTTGTTTGTTTGTGTGCCTGCAGTTCTATGATCTTCTAAATATTTTTGAGCTTAACGGGCTTCCTTCAGATGAGAATCCATATCTATTCAATGGAGACTTTGTGGACAGGGGATCTTTTTCTGTGGAGGTGATCCTAACATTGTTTGCTTTTAAGTGCATGTCTCCATCAGGTGAATCCTTTTGTTTTCTTGATCGGTTTATAATTTTTTGTTAAGTCTAGGTAGATTTTTTTAGGCCTTCCATATCTTTTGCAAAGTCATGTTGGAGTCACTTTTCAATTACTTCGTTGTGGGATATTACCCCGTTGCTCCTTTCAATGTCAATATTAACTCCGATATTCATTTAACACTCATTTCCCTTGCTCAGTAATCTGACCATGTTCTACTCTTTTCAATTAAAAAGAAATCATGTTCTGAATTGATAACACTCATTTCCGTTATTTTTTTTTTTAATTTTCAGCAATATATCTCGCAAGAGGAAATCATGAGAGCAAGAGCATGAATAGGATTTATGGTTTTGAGGGTGAGGTCCAGTCCAAATTAAGCGACAAGTTTGTGGAGCTGTTTGCTGAAGTTTTTTGTTGTCTACCGCTGGCTCATGTAATAAATGGGAAGGTTTTTGTAGTCCATGGGGGTCTTTTCAGCGTTGATGGAGTGAAACTCAGCGACATTAGAGCAATTAATCGGTTTTGTGAGCCTCCTGAGGAAGGTAATTTATTACATCCCCTCCCTTTATTCTGCTTTTCGATTACATCTGTTATTGCCCTTAACCAGGTGGATTTAAAGTTTGAAAATATGTCATCACAAACCTTCTGTAAATTAATTAGTAGGCAGATTTTATATTTGTTTTTTCTGGGTTTCATCAGGGTTAATGTGTGAATTGCTGTGGAGTGATCCACAGCCTGCACCTGGAAGAGGACCAAGCAAGCGAGGTGTAGGTCTTTCTTTTGGTGGCGATGTGACAAAAAGATTTTTGCAGGAAAACAATTTAGGTAAATTACTAGCGTTGACAAGTTGTTTTACTGAAGTTGTTAGTGCTACTTATCAAAAGATGTACTGGAGGATTTACATGGCTGTTAATATACAGATTTAGTTGTGCGATCTCATGAAGTAAAGGACGAGGGTTATGAGATTGAGCATGATGGGAAACTTATCACTGTCTTTTCTGCTCCAAATTACTGTGATCAGGTAACTGAATGATGGCTACTCGGCTACCCTTCGATCATTACTAAATCTTCTAAAATTGTTGTGTATGAACTTTATTGAAGCTTGTTTTTTGCACATATGATAATTTTGTTTTATGGTTCCGGCGTTGCAGATGGGTAACAAGGGTGCCTTTATCCGTTTCGAAGCACCAGATTTGAAGCCGAACATTGTCACTTTCTCAGCAGTGGTCAGTGTTTCCTGTCAATTTAACTGCTCCATATTTTTTTAACATGCGCGCACACTGTACAGTAATGACGTTTCTCGTTGCACTAAAAAAATCTCCTTGTATAATATTGCAGCCACATCCTGACGTCAAGCCAATGGCATATGCGAACAACTTCCTCCGAATGTTTCAGTAAATTATTTGTCCGAGTGCAAGTGCCAACACAGTTGAATACGACTTTGCTTCAGAAGCCTATTGGAGGAGGGGTTGGTGCATGTTGACAACTGCAGTATCTTGTCGCGATTACATCTCGTAAAGATGGTTCTTTTCATTTTATGTATCTATCTTGTTCTTGTTCTTCTCCCGACTAGGACGAGAATATTTCAGGCATTTTCTTTGAAGTCGTTTGTGTTCTTATGCTTGCTCCTGGAAGCCAGGTTTAGAGACGAAATTCATATCCGTATGGAGAATGACTGCCAGCTAAAGCTCATGGCGTTTGCTTCGTGTTTATTTTTATGAATTTTGATTGTTTTCTATTTTTTTTTCGCCGGTATTTTGGATCTTCAAAATACTGGCGTAAATATGTCATCAAATTTGTTCTTTTTGTTTTTGAATTTGTTGCAACCATATAACTTGTAAATATTTGAATTTATACCTGATTTTGACCTGGAAAATATCTCAAAGTGCCTGCAATAAAGTTGTCATCCCACAGCCTAGACTGGAGAGAGCAATGGAATCATCCTGCACGATGGGAAATACGCCTTTCCCGTTTCATTGTCTTTTCTCTCTCATCATGTGACTCTTTGTATAAATGAGAATGTACCATACAAGCAATTACTTGTTATTCTTGTCAAGAAAACAGAATAATCAGATTAATTTTATTGTTCCCTTGACTTTCCAATGTGTACGGTTACATCAACTCAAAATCAATCGGCAATGTTTTCTATCTGATTGAAACTATTATACACGGATCAGGTAATGAGAGAGCATGCGTAGCGTGTAACTTATTCGGATGCCATGCTAGAATGTTGATATCGAACGCAAAACCAATTGATAAGAGGTAGAGACAATATTTTGGGTGATGAGTTATATCATAACCTAATTGTAACACATTTCGAGAGATCCAAATTGAAAAGGTTATGACGGCCACTACGTGTAATTCTTGAACAACATAAATTAAACAAGAGTACAAAAATCAAGGGTTTCTCAATGGTATGCTATTGACGTATTGCAGAATTATCGTCAAGTTAAACTACAATATGACTATATAAGCCGATTTTAGCTTAGTTTATTAAGAACACTCACCTTTCCACCTAAAATGCTGAGTTCAAATTTCCCATCCAATATTGTTGTATTAAAGAAATAAAGAGCTTCAAAATCTTGGGCCCAATATCAGGCCCAAACAAATTCATTTTTCAGGTTACCCAATTTTAAGGTTGGGCTCGGGTTAGGGCAGTGAAACCCGCCCAAAATCAAGCCCTGGTAAGAAAAGAAATAGAAAAATCAGTACTTTGTGTTGTCTTAGCTTCCATCGTCGTTTCGACATTGGAGGACTTGAATTGCTTGCGTTCCGTCGCCCCAGCTCTCCGGCGTCGTTTTGGCTCGATTTGCATTTCAGGTTTGTTTATTTCCTCCTCACCATTTGCCCCCCATAAAGCCTCTTCCTTCTTTCTTCTAATCCGTCTAACCCTTCCTTTCTCAGCTCCCTGTTTGGTTTCCGAGAAAATTTAATTCTCCAACTTTCTCATGAAATTTTATTTCTCAAATACACCACCACCGTTTTCGGCTCACTTCAATTTCTGAGAAAAATGAAACTAAAACCAGCTGATAACATAACTGACACAGAATCTAGTTTTTTTTTTCCCCTTTTATTTTCTCGGAAGCCAAACGGGGGGTTTTGATTTTGGTTGTGATTATGATTGAGGATTAACTGTGTTTGGATTAAATAATAAGCTATGGTTTGCAGAGTTTATAGCGTTATGGATATGAACTTTTGAAATGTAGAGTGGATTTCTGTGGCAATTAAGCCTTGAATTGGATTAGTTAATTTAATTGGGGGTTTTAATTAGGGTTTTGGGTGCTGTATCTTAGTTGCTATAACTTTCGGATGGTAATTGAATTGTGAAGATAAATGTAGAAGGTAAGTGGAGCTTCAAGTCTTAGTGTATTAGCTGAGAGAAATTGATCTTACCCGGTTGCACCATTGCTCGGTTCTTAGAAAAGTACAAGAGGAATTGAAATGCATTGTGGTGCGTGATGATGTTCATCTGAGCAAATTTAGGGTGCATGATGATGATTTTCCATTACGTCTCGCATTTTTGGTTTTTGGATAGGGAGAGGAAAAGGAAAGGAGGATTCTTGAAAGCGTTTATTCAAAACGAAAAGTGTTTGAATGATGTCCTTGCTCTTTCATATAACATGTAGATGAGTGAATGTTTATGGGTAAAAGTTATTCATTTGTCATGAATTAAGAATGACAGTTCATGGGAAGAATTGTGATTGAAAAAGAGGACATATTCCAAAGAGCGTGCTTAGACTTTCTCGAATGAAAAAAACTGCGGTATGAGAGTTTCATTATGTTTTGATCTTTAAATTCTAGCACTCGACATATTGGAAATTGCAGAGATTAAGACCATAAATACAAGTCTCTTAATTTGACCCGAGTAGGTTTAGAATGCACAAAATGCTTTCAATTCTAATGTAAATGAAGCTTTTTGTTCGCTGGTTCTTTCCAACTGCAACAGTTTTCATATTTATTCTAACTTGTGCTCCAATTTACCTCATTCCAATATGCTTGCGAAGCTTCCTGGAGCTGAAACTCATTGTTTTGTGTAAATTTGATACAAGTGAGAGGCAAACATAGAGTATAGTCAATTCCTTCTGTAATTTTGTCGTTACTGAGTTTAACGGATTTACTATCTATGATTATGAATTAAGATGCTGCTATGGAGCTAATACACTGGGTGATATTTTCTGTAGTTGGCAGTAATGGAAATGATACTGGCGGACCCTTATGGGACAAATCCCGGACCAATTGATGGTTCAGTGCTTTATGATCAGGACAAGCATGTGTCTTCAGCAGTTTGGGATGGACAGGTGCAGTGAACAATTTAATGAACCATATAAGGCTTTTTACCATTTCCTTCCGTCTTTTTTAATGAGCTATTTTTTCTGATCTGGATGATAATATATATTATTAACTACCTACAGGAACGTGGTGCACTCAGATGTCATGAACACACTTCAAAGCTTGATCAATGGACACTCACGGAAAAACAGGTTGAGTTGGTAGAGAAGGCTGGATTTGGTTATTTAAGATGGATTCCGGCAATCAGTCTAGATAACCCACTCATTTCTGCACTAGTTGAAAGGTGGAGGAGAGAAACAAACACTTTTCACCTTAATGTTGGAGAAATGACGGTAACTCTTAAGGATGTCGCACTATTGCTTGGACTAGCAATTGATGGAGACCCTGTAATTGGTATAACACATACCACCTGCAACTCAGTTTGTGACAGGTATCTCGGAAAAGTACCAGAATCTAGTTATACTAGCGGTGGAATGGTGAAGCTAAGCTGGTTGAAAGAGTTCTTTTCCCATTGTCCCAAAGATGCACCACTCGAAGTGATTGAATGTCATACCCGTGCATATCTCTTATATCTTGTTGGAAGTACAATATTTTCCACAACTACTGGGAATAAAGTCCCTGTCATGTACCTTCCACTGTTCGAAAATTTTGACAATTGTGGGAGATATGCCTGGGGGGCAGCAGCATTGTCATTCTTGTACAGGGCACTGGGAAATGCCTCTCTGAGATCTCAAAGTACAATTAGTGGTTGTTTAACGCTACTACAGGTTATCTACGTGGCTTTTTATTTCTTTTGTATTTTCTATTTTTTGAGCAGTTCCTTTGGCTCTTATTTGCAGTTGCTTCTTGTTGACATCTTTCTTTTTCTTTTTATATTTCATATCATATTTTTGCAGTGCTGGAGTTACTTTCACCTAAATATTGGACGACCAAAGCTCAATACTGGTTCAATGCATGATCGTTTTCCTTTTGTGCTTAGCTGGAAAGGAAAGCAAAGTGGGCCAACAACAAACCGTGATGTAGTGTTTTATCGTAAAGCTCTGGATTCCTTGAAACCATGTGATGTCAGTTTTTCCTTCTTCTTTCCATCTATAACTGAGTCAGTTGATATGCTAGTTTTAATGTATGATATAAAAATAAATTTGACATGGCGTTGGCTTATAGGTGGAGTGGCTTCCATATAGAACTATGGACAGTACAGTGATTCCAGAAGATATCAAGAGCAATCTGAATATAGGGAGGTCAAAAACAATGCTGATATGCTTTGACAAGGCAGAAAGGCATCTCCCAAACCGTTGCCTAAGGCAATACGGCATGTCTCAGTCAATCCCAGAGGATGTACAGCGATGGGAGAGAAAAAGTCGCGGAGTTGATGGTGGGGTTGACTTGTCAGGAAAAATGGAGTCAGAGCTTAATGAATGGCTGGAGCGTCGATATCATATTGTTGAAGGTGATGATGGTGCAGATGAAAGTGATTATATGCTGTGGTACCTGAAAATTACACGTAAATTTATAGGGAGGCCTATATCTCTCTCCTCTGAGTTTCAAATAACGGTAATATTGTATTGAATAAGTAAAATTATAATTTATTGGTTATTGGCAAGTGTAAGGATAAGGAGATGGTGCATTATCTTTAAATGATAACGTTATTAACTTTTGCAGAATGCTGGGTTGAGGGATATTGCACGCATAGCAGATACATTTGTAACAGACGGGTTGGACCAAAAACAAGCTGATTCAATTGAAGAAATCAGAAGTATTGCGCATCAATGTTTGAGGGACCAGATTTGTGGTCCAGACATACCATCACCCACCCAACAAAATGAATTTGGGAAAAGGATAAGAGGAAAGGAGAGGGTAAGAAGAAAAGGTATGGGAAAACGTTTGCGGAAGGATGATCCAGCACAATATATTACTGCTAGTGAGGACGATCAATCCCAGTTTTGTGGTACCAATGTCAGGGTTGAGCAGATACGTTTTCAGGATGTACACAGTGAAGATCATTCGCAGCTATATCCTGTTGACAGTGAGGTCACTGCTTTGCATATGATCAACGGAGATGATGAGGATGAGAATATGCATCTATGCAGTGCCGACATGGGGTTTGATCATTCAGAGCTAAGCCATGCGGCTACTGTGGAAGGTAATTCTGAGCTAATCCGTGCGGTTGTGAAGTTTGATGACGCACAGCTTTTTGAAGCAACCGAAAAGATCGACTCACAGCTTCGTGATACCATAAATGAAGTCAAGGACTCACAACTGTCTGATTCAACTAAGGTAGTTGATACACAGATGTGCAATGCAACTAAGGTCATTGACTCACAGCTCCGTGGTGCATATAACGAGGTTGATGACTCAGAGCTTCCTCATGTTACGAGTGAGAGTGATCCACAAGCATCGAAAGTTGAAGCAGAGGTTGTTCCAGAGCCTTCTCTTGAAACTCCTCAGGACATTGCCCAGCAGAGTAAATGTAGTGTCGTAGTATAATATAAAGCCGCCATCATGCAATTTTTCTGAGGTAATCCATTCACACGAGTAAAGACGTTTACTCTGATCTGATAATTCTTCGATCTTATTTGTACTATTTTCCGCTTTCATTTGTTCTATATACCAGATGAATCTGTAATTCCATTTTATTGTTTGACAGGCAGCGCGAGCGTAACAATACGAATTGCAAATGTGCAGCTAGATTAGCAGTCTTGGGGAAGTAAGCTAGCAACAAGATGCTTCGGTTCATGTTAATTATTCTACTGTTTTGTGCTGTAACAATTTTATGTCTGATCTATTTTTATAACGTCGTCTTCGTCTTTAGGTTATCGATTATTCACTTTCGTTTCCAAATGTAAAGATTACTGGAAGTTGTGTCTGTTCAGGTACTGGAAATAATGTATAGTTTCATGTATATTATGATCCCTCTGAAAATTTTGAAGTTTCGTTTTTTCCCGTTGGGTTTTTGTTGTTTTGTGTACAAGCGAGTAGCGATAACGGGGGAGGAAAATCGAACCCGAGATCGACAGGTCTTTTTGCTTATCGTGGGATGCTTTTATTTCTTGAAGAAAATGTAAGGGACAAATGGGCCCTTAAATCTGAATAACAGAGGACCATTATTTAGGGTAGTTCATATTTTGAGACACAAACTATTCCTTTCACCATAATTTAGATAATTTACAGAGAGTATTTGGTTGGTTGGATTAAAACCCTTTTGTATTTTTTTGGTCGAAAGTCTTGTGTAGTGTCAGGCAACTAACACAACTCTAAACGCTCCAATTTAGCCCTCGTGTGGGGTCTACGATTCGGTTCAAATGGATAACTCACTGTATTCAAAGTATGTTGAAGAAAGAAACGAATAACTCTGTCCAACTTAAATTAATGAAACTTATCCATTCTAGTTGTGCTAAAATGGTGGGATTATAAGGGAAAGGTTTTATTCATCAAACGGTTATGTTCAAATCTCTTTTCTAATCCCTTCCGAAAAAAGAACCCCAAACGAAACTTTAAAGTTAAGTAAAACTTACTCTACCATATGGTGGTCTGTATGAAAAGTAAACACTTCCAAAGATTGGGTTTAGGTTTTAGTTTCAGCAACTTTTTTTTTTTTTTTTTTGAACAACACTAGTCGTTAAGATTTGAACTCTAAACCTAGTCAAACAAAGTCTCGAACAAAGTCAAAACCGCAAGGTGTGAGATGAAATTGTTATGTGCTCAGCTTTAGGCATTCAGTAGCACAAGTTCAATGTTTTGTGCTACTATGCTACACTGCCCTGGTTTGCACTTTCATGTCATGGTTTTCTGTGAAAACCATTGTTTAAGTTGAAGGCTTTTGTTTATTAAACTCAACCGTTTACACCTGAATTTCATGTTGGGAGAGGACAAGAGTAGCAATTAATTTCCTTTTGTGGGGATGCAATTCCAATGCAAACTATTTTTGTCGTTGAAAACCAAAACCTGAAAACTACTTTCTTTTCAAAATTTGATCTTAAATTTTTATTTCTTGAAAATTGAAATTTAAAATAAAAAAAAACTAAAAATTAAAAACGAAATAATTATCAAATTGATCCGTTGCTTAACAATAGGAAAACAAAATTGTGTGTGGGAAAAGTGAAACATGCCCCCTTCAAGGTCCCTCGATCTCTTGACCCTACCTGTGCTTTCAAATTATCAAATTCGGATTTGAATCCTCTCCTGAGCAAAGGAGATGGAGCCTCCTGACCCAAATATACGGACCGTTAGATTTTGATTCAACAATTACAATTATTATAATTTTTAGAGAAATCCTCTGTTTGTAACCGTTTGATCGAAATTCAACAGTTCGTGTGTTTAGGTCAAGAGGCTTCGTCTCCCTGGAGAGGATCCAAATCCATCAAATTCTTACTCATATTACTCAGATGTCATGATTCCCCCTTCCCCCATTGATTTTCACCACTCCTCCTATCACTTCAATCACTTGTCCTACAACTCACCCTCTCTCTCGCTCTCTCTCTCTCTCTCTCTCTAGCACTCACATGAAGTGAAAACCCCATCTAAAAACCAGACAACAAAATGCTGCAACTCACCAAACCTGCTCCACACCTTGACACAATGTTCCTTCCCTTCTCACTCTCTCTCCCTCCACTTCTTCTCTTCCTTCTCCTCTCTCTCCCTCCTTCAACCAGCGCCGCCATCAACACCATGCTTCCATCTGAATCAGAAACGCTCTTCAAGATCATGGAATCCATGTCCTCTGATCAACCCTGGAGAATTTCTCACCCTGACCCTTGCCAAGCTTCCTCCTCCTGGCCCGGAATCGAGTGCAAAATCGGAAAAGACAATCGCCCCCATGTCTCCCGGCTAGATTTTGGCTCCCCACCAAACCCCTCCTGCAAAAAAACGGCCGCATTCCCTTCCCTAATCTTCTCCCTCCCATTTCTCCAATCTGCTTTCTTCTTCAACTGCTTCACCCACACAAAAACCACCCTCTCTGTTTCTCAAAACAGAGCATCCTCCCCTGCCTCCCTCCAGCAGCTCAGCCTCCGGTCCAACCCGGCACTCACCGGCCCAATTCCACCTCAAATTTCCTCCCTCAAGTCCCTTGAAATCCTCACGTTGTCACAAAACCGCCTCTCCGGTCCGATCCCACCGGAGATTTTCACCCTCCGGACACTAATCCACCTTGATTTGAGCTACAACATGCTCACAGGCACCATCCCTCTTCAGCTGGGCAGTCTTAGAAACCTCCAAGGCCTTGATTTGAGCTACAATTCTCTCACAGGCTCCATCCCAGACACAATTGGTCAACTGGTTTTGCTGCAAAAAGTTGACTTCAGCTCCAATCAACTCACAGGCACCATCCCCAATGGCGTCGAAAAGCTCGGTTTATTGGTTTTCATGGCTCTAAGCAACAACAGGTTAAGTGGGCAATTTCCGAACGGATTGGAAAAGCTGCAGAGCTTGCAGTATTTCATTTTAGACGGCAATCCAATGCACATTCCTCTGCCATTGGAGTTTGGTAAATTGGTGAAACTCCAAGAACTCAGGCTGGCTGATTCCGGCTACTCGGGCACTATCCCGGAATCCTTCTCCCAGCTCAAGAATCTAAGCACTCTGTCGCTGCAGAACAACCGATTAACCGGCAAAATCCCGGTCGGGTTTGGCAGCCTCTCGCACATTTACCACATGAATCTGAGCAGGAACATGTTGGGGGGTGTTGTGCCTTTCAATGCAAGTTTCCTCAAGAGGTTGGGGAGGAACTTGGATCTCAGTGGAAACCCAGGTCTCTGTCTGAGTTCCTCAGAAGCTCACGGTTCGAAAGTTGGAGTTAATGTCTGTGGAAGCAGTGATCAGATTGCTTCACCAGCCTTGCCATCGAAGAATTCTCAAGCTCCTCTTCCATCTGGGATCTCCAAAAACCCATTTTTTCTGTTTGCTGTTTTGTGTGTTTGGAGATTATTGCATCATCAGATGCTTTTAGTGTGATAAAGTATATTTGTGTTTAATTTAGTCTGATTTATTGGTGATTAGCTTAAAATATTTTTAAAAGAAAATTAATGAAAAATGTTTGAAAATTTTGAGTTTTAACCGACAAAATAAAGGATAAAATGAATAGTACCAATATTGACTTTGTAGTGTAAAAATGCAATTTTTTGTTAAAGTGAACATTATCGGAAGTTTTTCATTAAAGTGCATATGGGGTATTTTTTTTTTTGAGTTTTAACGAAACACTCTTAGTATTGTTTACTTTTAACGAAAAATCACATTTTTATCTTTTCCTGGTACTATTTACTACATTTTTATTTGTCATTTTTGAAAAGTTTTTTTGAACTTTTTGTTAGTTTTTCTATTTTTTTTTTTTTTGGACAAATAGTAAGATATTATATCAAATATCTAAATTACGGAAAAAATAATTTGAACTTGAATGCAAAAGGAGCACATTGCTTTAACACCAACTTGGCCAAACGCATGTAAGCAACCATCTTTTAATTTGTTTGACAATTTTTCTTCCTACAAATTTAAATCATGTGGTTGATCTAGAAGAATTACTGGTGTAACGGGTATATTCTCATATTGGTATTTCTCTAATTTGTACTTTATCGCGTGACACTAGCCAAATACAAAAATATACCTCACAAAAAGTTACAAAACCGATTACACGTTAGGAGAGAATTTTAAGTGTGACGGTACACAGGGTAGTAAATCACATGTCATTATACAAATAGTGAGATATATGTATTAAAAAATTAATAACTTAAAAAATAAAATTTTCCACCAAGTATATAAACGTAATGTACCACCCGTGTTCCAGTCACAATGAAAATTTTCTCATACGATAGAATCTCTGTGATCTACAATTCTAGTCATAAGGCCAATCATGTTGTCAAATGTCCAGACGGTGGCTGAAAGCTTTATTCCCTTACTGGTTCCTTCTGTGGGAAAATTTTTAGGTGTACCGGGTACACCAAATTTTTTTGGTGTACCCTCACTCATTAAAATTTTTTTGGTGTACAAAAAGTGAGGGTGCACCAAATTTTTTTGGTGCACCCTCACCATTATGAGTGAGGGTACACCAAATTTTTTTGGTGTACCGGGTACACCGAAAAATCCCTCCCTTCTGTGATACTAGGTGGACCAATCAATTATTTTCAGCAGCAGATGAACATAAGAAAAATCTTGATATAATATTTAAGTGATTTAGAGGACACTGCCATTGGAAATTTGGAATAGCATTTTTCGTGTAATAAGCATGTTTTTCTTTTCTTTGACAAAATTTTCAAACCCATGGCCTTCGGCCATGTTTACCACGAAGCAAACTTCTTGACGGATGTCGTTTTCGACGGAGGCATTAACTTGTTATGGTCATGTAGTGCATAATTGTAATATTTAGATTAACTCTATCTTTGATGAGGCTGCTCTTGCATGACAATATAAATGATGTGTAAACAGAAGCGTTAATCAATTAGTAACTTAATACGATGTTAATTAATCATCTACACTTGTTCCAGGATATTTCGCATAATCTAAACCTGCCATTTTATATGTATATGTTATCACTTAAAGATTATCCTTACGAAATTTCACTGAAATCAAGTGACATTTACTTATCTAACTTGGTCATATCAAATAGGCGAACACAATATTGTTGATAAACAAAGGAAATGTTCACAATAACAATTGTAGAGCAAGACAATTTCCGGTTGCAGTGAATTTTTGCAAGAATGATTTATGATTGAGCGCTTCTGTGATTCAGATCATGAAATACTTTGTGGAGCTGCCCCAAATAAATGATTAACGTTGTTTAAATTATTACTAACTGATTAACACTTAAACACTCGATATATATATATATATATATATTCTTCAATAATTCCGTGGAAATATGCAGCTCGTGATTTTGACACTTACTTCTGGGGATATTACCATTAGCAAGCAAGAGAGAGAGTATCATCTGACACTATCTATGTTGGTTCGAT